GATAATTTTTTTTTCTTGATTTAGGAGGGATACTTCTTTTATTTAATAAGATTTAATATTATTATTAGTTCCTAATAATGAAGACATTATCTTAGGGCATTTCTTATTGCTATTCCTAAGTTTATTTCATTATTAATCATATAAATGCCGCCATATAAAAATACTTAGGTTAAACTCTGTTGTTGGGAGATAATTCTCTGTAGTTTTTTTTTTTACATCTTCATACTTCTTGTTCTGAATGACTCTTTAAGGATGTGGGTATAGCAAATAGCCTTGGAAGATAGGCAGTCTCTCCCTCTATAGAATTGAGCAGGCATGCTTACTAACTGTATGAGATTCTCATTCCATAAGCTCATATTTCTTCTGTGTGTGCCAGTGTTCCCTTGCCCTCTTCACATCACCTTGTGAAAACTTTAGCTTGAAGAACCAGTGCATAAAAGGATGATACTCTGACTAATGCTATCGCTAGATAAACATTTCTTTGTCTCAAGTTTTATTTCTTAAGCTAGCATACATGGAGCCATGGCAGGCTAACTTAGGACTTTCCATGTTGGGTGAAATCCTAGACCTTTTTCAGCCCTTGAATCTATTTTCTTTTTGAAAATTTCTTCAACCAGTCACCCATAGTGTTTTCCTCTCCTGCCATTTACTTGATTGTACACAGTATTTGTTTGCTTATATTTTAATGTGTTTTTTAATTCCAAAGGCTTCTTAAAAAACATATTTCCTTTGATTTTGGAGAAGAAGGAAGAGGGAGGGGGAGGGAGAAACATCAGTAATGAGAGAGAATCATTGATCAGCTGCCTCGTGTACTCCCCTACATTTGGATTGAGCCCTCAACCCAGGCATGTGCGCTTGACCACAATCGATCTCAGGACCCTTCAGTTCCCAGGCCAGTGCTCTTTTCACTGAGCCAAGCCAGCCAGGACTATTCTACAGGCATTTTACAATGAAATTACTTTGTGTGCAGTAAAGCACAACAAATATCGGGTTTTATGCAAGTTTCTAGAATATAGATGCTACAATGATGTATTTGAGTAGGTGTAATATGTTTAATATTGTATTGCAAGGCACAGAGTATGAATGGATGAATATGTATTCTTAAAATATCTTGTAGTTGCGTAAAGTTACTATAAAATATTTATTGAGGTATATTTTATATGTCATCTATTTTTCTTTTCAATAATAGTTAACATTTATTGGGCAATTACTGTGTGTCAGGCGCCATCTTATCCTCTCAATTGTCTTTTGAAGAATATCTCCCCCCCCCCCCCCCTATTTTATAGAAGGAGGGATAGAAATATATTGTAGAAGGGCTGTATTAGCATATGGTAGAGATGGCATTGAAACCCAGGGCTGTTTAATTTTCTAATCCAAGCTCTTAACCACTACAGCTTGCTAAAAAATGGAGGAAAGGGAAAGCATTTAAAAGTATATTGACTATATCAACTCACATGGAGATTTTTTTAAACTTTGTATAGTTTATATTAATACTATGGGCCTTCACTATTTATTTGACATAAATAACACCAATATTCATTTACAGTAATCCTTTACCCAGGGTTTTGCTTTCCATGGTTTCACTAACTCACTGTCAATAGCAGTCCAAAAATATTAAATGGAAGACTCTATAAATAAATAATTTATAATTTTAAGTTGTGGGTCTTCACATTTTGTCCCCCTTGGGACAGACTCACTCCTATGTTCAGCTGTATACTCACCTTGCCCGTTAGGCACTTACCAGATCCCTTATGTGAGGGGAAGGGTGTCCACATTCACATAATTACAGTATATTTTAATTGTTTTATTTTATTATTTTTATTAATTTCTTACTGTACTATATAACTTGAATTTTATCATAGATACTAGAGGCCTGTTGCATTAAGATTTGTGCAATAGGCCTTCCTTCCCCTGGCTGCTGGCACCAGTTTTCCTCTGGCACCTGGGACCCAGGCCTTTGCTCTGGCCGCTGCCTTCCGTCTTTGCTCCAGCCGGAGTCTTCAGTCTTTGCTGCGGCTGGAGCCTTCAGTATTCACTCCAGCCAGAGCACTGCTTCTGTAGCTCCCTCTGACCCCCATTCTCTCCCTCATAGCAGGCATCCCACCCCACCCAGCTGCTCCACACCTGTATGCATACTGCCCAGAGACCCAGAGCAGCTTGGGGGCGGGGCCACCACCATCTTTGTTGGGTTAATTTGCATACTCCTGATTGGCTGTGAGTGTCACAAAGTGATGGGCAATTTGCATATTTCTCTTTTATTAGTGTAGATGTATTTATAGGCAAAAAAATCCTATATAATAAAGAGGTAATATGCAAATTGACCCTCATGCCCTCAAAAGATTGCCATCCCTATGTCATCACAAGATGACTACCACCACATTGTCACATGATGGCCACCCCCACGTGGTGACAAGATGGCCAGCAGGGGAAGGCAGATGGCAGCAGTTGGGCAGTTGGGGAAGATCAGGCTAGCAGGGAAGCAGTTAGGTGTCAATCAGGCTGGCAGGGGAGCAGTTAGGGGATGATCAGACTGGCAGGCAGTTAGGGGCAGTTAGGGGCAATCAGGAGTAGTTAGGGGCAATCAGGCAAGCAGGCAGGTGAGTGATTAAGAGCCAGCAGTTTCGGATTTTGAGAGGGATGTCCCCCAAGGGGTCCCAGATTGGAGAGGGTACAGGCTGGGCTGTGGGACACGCCCACCCACAGTGCACGAATTTTGTGCAATGGGCCTCTAGTAGTATAAATAGCATTGGGCACCCACTGAGGGTCTTGGAATGCACCCCCTTCAGATCAGTGAGGACTATTGGATTGCTTATAATGGAATTCAATGTATAACTCTTGTTAAAATTAACTATGTTCAGAAACTGCTTTTTAAAAGTATAAAACAAGAACTAAAGCAATATAGGAATTAATATTTCCACATCCAAAAATTGGTAAATTCTAAGTTGTGGCTCCCACCACAATTGCAGCCCAACTTCAGGTCAGTGAGTATTGCAATCTAAACTGAACATTATATGAAGCTTCATAAAATAATATTTTACACACTCGAGGAGGCCTGATAATGGCCACTGTGGGCACAGATTATCAGTAACTGTTTACCACTGTGGTTTGGGGCATATCGTTTATGTGACTGCTTTTCTTAGTGCAACATAGATGTTTCAAATATTGTGGTGGCATTTCAGTGGTGCTTAATTATTCATAAATACTGAGCCAAAGTACCTTTAATTGTAAGATTATGTTTTTCATCTGATTTATAAACAGTCACTTTGCTCTCCTCCTCTATTCCCAATCCCAAAGGAAAAGATACTTTTGTGGTATGTGATCCCATCTACTGGTACAACTCAGAGAAATTCGATTCTCAGAGGAAATGTCAGTTGGACATCATCAACTGCTTTACTTTGCCTTAATATTGCTTCAATAATTTGTAATATTTTTGACACTGTGTCATAAGCTTTGCTTATCATTTTATTGATTGATGTCTCTATTGACAGCAAACACATTTCTATTATGAGTCTCTCAAATGCATGTTTAAACATAAAATTTTTGCTTATGATGGACTATCATATAGGTAGTTGTATAAGTTCACGTATAAAATTACTGTTATCTAATTCATGTGATAGAAAGGATAAACTTCACAGGTTATTTGTGTACATTAATTATATACATAAACTTCCAAGAATTAAATTCAGTAAATTGTATTTAGGTGTGATTTTGTTTTTATTAGCAAAGTATTTACAGAATATCCAGTGGGTGCCCAAAACACTGTGGTCCAAGGTAAAGCTTACAAGAGCGTCTTAGCCACTATGTTTGGAACTCTGAGTATTTTCTAAACATTCTAATTTGGTTAGGAAGACCACTGATGTCAGTCAGGCATGTTTATTATTATTATCCAAATGATCCTGAGAAGGTGGCTTAACTGTTAGTGAACTCCCTAGTGCAGTGTTTCCCAAACTTTTGACATATGTGTACCCCTTCTATAATTTTCGTAACGCTGAGTACCCCTTGTACCCATGAGAATGTAGAATTAGGTGCAGCTAAGCAAGGTGCAGTGCATATCCCCACCAAACTATGGTGCAACGCGTACCCCCACCAAACTCTTCCCGTACCCCTGGGGGTATGCGTACCACACTTTGGGAAACACTGCATGAAAAAAACAATGACCATGATTATATATAAAATAAGTTTAGTCTTGGGTGACATTTCATTTATTTTTATGAACCATCACATTTAATCCACATGGCACCTTTTTGAGTTTCAGCATCTTACCCAATCCCAATTTGTACAACATGTTGGAACATAATTTTTTCATGATTCTGCCTTTGTAAAAGTAAGGATACCAAGGTGAGGGTTGATTATGTTGCTCTGTGCCCTTTGCTTGGTCCTTCTCTAAAACTAAGATCTAAATGCCTTTACAGGTAACTCTAGCCAATTGGCTCAGAGTAACTTGAAGCGATATTTTCCAGGATGAAGGAGTTGAGTCAAGTATTATACTTACTGCATACTCATTTTGCCAAGCTGTGTTAGTGAAACTTAGGGACTGACAAATAGGACTTTGCAGATTTAGTAGTCATTAAGGATTATAATGGTCTCCACTGTTGAGTAAGAATTTTAAACATACATAGTCAGTGTCATGTACACATATTTATTAATATATTGATACTATATTATTAACATACTATAACATAAAATTACTTTCTAAAATATAAACCAAAAAGTGAAGTAAAAATGATAAAAATTAACATCAATTAGAAGTTCTAATGTTTTCTTATTACATTGGTATCTTTTTCACCTCCTGAGAAATGCTAAATCAGTTGACTATTGCTTTGAAATGCAACTTTTCATATATACATACCCATCTAATTATTAAAAGTCATCTTCAGTAGAGAAAATACCTAATTATAACATGATCATAATGCCTGCCAGTCTCGTTTTATCCAGCTTTCTTTCACATTTTAGGATCAGATCTAACACAGAGTGTGCTATTCTTTGTGTTGTGCTCTTAGGATGAGGATGGGATAGAAGACAACAGTCGTGTTGAACCTGTTGGACATGCGGACAGTGGTTTGGAGAACATACCCAACTTTTCTCTGGAGTAAGTTACTGATTTTTTAAATTATATATGTGATATACCTGCAGCATCTCAAAGTGTTCCAAAAACATGGCATGTGTGGGATGTTTGTGCTGAGTTAAAAACATGCCTTGCATTAGTTTGTTTTCCAAAGAGCATCTTTCATTGATTGTGTTAATTATTATCTAATGTAAAAAGAATAGCATGGAAATTCACATGTCTCTGTCCTGTTTCATGCCTTGCCAAATACTATTAAGTTAGAATATAAAATAGTGTTTGATTAAAAATGTTTGCTGTGTTTACAGCACTACAACTGTTTTCAGATTGCTTTTATGTCAGTATTTTGGTCATTTGTTTGTTGTTCAACTTATCTAAATTAAAAAGATTATAAACATACTTTAACTGAAAACTATTTGAATCGTATAAGCATTAGCTATTTTAGCATTTATATTTTGATTTAAAAAATAGAAACTCTCAAGGAATTTGAAAAATTATAGGTCATAGGTTAGGGACCTGAACATGATTTTAAGTATGAAAGGACAGAGTAAAATTTTCTTATATTATTATCACAACTGTACAATTATTTTAAATATTGGCATGTTTAAATGACTGTGGGTAAAAGTTAGGGGATCTAGGCATTAACATTTAAATTTTTTCTTCTTTGGGAAGGTTCTAAGAACTTCCTCAGTGAGATTAGGCACTAGAATTAGATTATGTTTGGATATGGAGTAACCAGCACTAAGTATTTTCTTTTAAGAAATACTTGCCATTTCCTAATTCTTTTTAGAGAAAATGTAAAATAGCAATAATTTGAGTAACTACACTATTCTTAGTGGACAAACCAACCATTAAAAACTGTGTAAATGGTAAATAGTATCTAAAATGGTATAAAATTCTATGAGAATATTCTTAAAAATAAAAATTCATTTATTGTTTCTTTAATTTAGCTAATTTTTTATTTTGTCCTAATTATTATATATGATTAAATCTGTGCACAAATGTATTTCAATTTCGTTTTCAGCCAGTACTTTTCTTTAGCCCTTAGGCTTTTATTTAGGTAGTTTAAGAATTGGCATTTTCCATTATATAAAAAACTATATTGTGACCTTTGTCAAATCTATTGATAATCATTTATGGTTGTTGGTGTTGCTTAAACTAGGTATTTAATTAAAATACTACTTTCAAATATTGCCTATTAGATAAGCACTGCTTAGATTTCTATAGAGTATCCTCCCCCTTGCGCGCATGCATGCACGCGGACGCGCACAGGAGCACACAAGCAAACAAAATCTGCAAAGGAAGTGAAATCTCATTTAGTTTAGAAAGTTTGCATTCTCTAAATTATACCAACTTGCATTAAACTTGGGCTTATTACATTAATAGTAAATTACTTAAGTTATATAATAGAAGTTACTTTATATAACTAGCTTCATTACTTTAACTTCCATTTTCAAACACTTTTATGAAAATGATTTGTTTTTTATTGGAAATCTGTTAGCTTTGAAAAAGGAATTTCATGACCTGCACTTGCAGTGGTTTAAGAAATGGCAACTTAAATTGTTATGGAACGGTGGAAAGTCGGGATTGCTGGATTACATCTGGACTGTCACCTGACCACAAGAGTAAAAATTTTGACTTAATTGAATTATTGAAAGAGTCAATGATGTGACGTATTTAGGAGCTCTTTGTAAATTATAAAGTGCTCTGTAGCTTGCAACACCTTTATTCAGTTAATCTTCAATGCCCTTGAGTGTAAATATTGGGATGGAAAATTTTCATTGGAAATCTAGAGATTTGACTTGAAAATGCATACTGTATTACACAGAAGAGTATGGGCCCAGAGAAATGGTTCTGTGTCATTTTTAATGTAGTTATTTCTGATGATTGTTCTCCTTCCATGCCATCAGACTAGTGTTCGGGTATGTAGTGTTTAATGTTGCCTTCATCACCATGCTTATATTCCAGAACGTGTGTGTACATGCTTGTGTGCTTGGTGGGATTTTGTTTCGTTCTCTTTTGTTGTTTATTGTGTGTCTGTGTTATTGTGTGTGTTTTTCTGTTTTGTTGTTGCGGTTTGTTTTGTTTACAGTCCATGTTCATGCTCCCTCATTCATCATTGTCTCACAGTGATATGGTAAAGCTCGTACACGTCCCCAACGATGGAGGGCCTCTGGGAATCCATGTAGTGCCTTTCAGTGCTCGAGGCGGCAGGTAATGTATCTTGCAGGTTTTTAATTGAATCATAATGTGGAGTGTTTTATCTTTATTTATACTCAAATATATAGAGTTTTCAATTCATGTTTTCATTTGTGGCAACTGCCATTTAATTCAGATGTTTATATCATAATCACAGAAGGCACTTAAGCTGATGAGGAAATCAAGCATTCAAATTATCCTAATAAATTTATTGTACATTGCATCTTACTTTGCTATAAATTGATGATAGATTTTAGTGTCAGAACTCCAGATGAATTCGCAAAGTGGAGGGCAAGAGCTTATTGTTTATGTTTATTTAGTTCCTTAATTTTATAAGATTTTTATGATTATGTTTGACATTTTAAAAAGTAAGATAAGTTCTAGCTTTACATCTTTGGTTCCTTCCTTTCAATATCTTCATATTCAAATGTGAACATTTTATATCGTTTATTAATACGACTTCATCCTTGTTTAGAACATATATCCTTAAAAACTTAAAGTATTATGTGAATTTCTCTCATTCTGCTGCTTTTTTCTGTAAAAGCATTATTTTGTTTTAATATACTCAAATACATAGTATGAACTGATTTTGCAGCTAATGGTTGATGGGCTTCTGCCATGGACAGGCCTTCCCAGGACACTAACCATGCACATTTAACTTGTTGAAGTTTTAGCACATCCTCTTTTATTTACCCACTTAATGACTACATGGAGAAATATTTATTTTATGTAGCAGTGGTGCCACTCACTACTATCCCTAGAGACCCACAGCAATATTTTTTCCCAATATATTTTTATTGATTTGAGATAGAAAGCGAGAGGGAGAAAGAGATAGAAACATCAATAATGAGAGAATCTTTGATTGGCTGCCTCCTGTAGGCACCCTACTGGGAATCAAGGCCACATTCTGGGCATGTGCCCCAACCAGGACCTCCTGTTTCATAGGCGATGGCCAACCACTGAAGAATATAGGCTGGGCTATTTTGACTTTGTTTACACTGTGTGATGGGGAAGCTGAGAAGTTGCCTTAGATCTGTGATTGAGGACTTAGAACATAGTTTAAATTCTGGCCAAGGAATTACAAGCATCCTGTGTTGTAAAAAAAACAGATGTAATTTCAATACGAGCATGTGATGGGTATTTGAACAATTGTACTACATTCCTGTTATGTCTTCCTATCTATGGCAAGTCTAGATTTCATCTCTTTAGTGAATGTCTGGATGCTGAAACTAAGTTACCCTGAGCTCAAACCCAGAGTCTGAGGCTTGAATGTTAGTGTTGTATAACAAGATGTGAAATTCACCTTTAATTTTGGGGTGGTGTTACATTCACAGAGTTGTAACTGCTTTCACTTTTTTTCCTCCTTTTCTCTTTTAACTTTTAAATGTTGGAGAAGCATTGACATTTTTTCAAGGAACTTTTCAGTTAAACAAACTTCGTTGTTTTCAAAATGGCTAATGTTTTCATTTTCCTTTAAAATATATCATTTTAAATGATCTGAAAATGTAAATCATCTTTCACTTATAAGTAGAAAAATAATATAAATGTATGGCATATAGCTCTCAATATTAATGTGTCTTTAACCACCTGTAGAATATAACTTACTACAAAGAAACTTAATTGTTTATATACCACCTTTGAACCAGTATCTCAATGGCACACATGTTATTTTATGTCATCATATATTTCCTTTGTCAGTGTGTAAGGATATTAAAATAAAATAAATCAATGAAAAGCCTAAAACAAAAGGGGAATAAGAGAAAAATAAACATACTCTAGATTAATTCAATGGAAGGCATTTCACAGAATCCACTGCAGTTACTGGTTACCATGGTGTTCAGTTTTGATACACAGAACACATTTAAGTAGACAAGGATCCCTTTGCAGAACAAGAAATTATTTTTCAGCCAAGTCATTACCTGTTGATTTGACAATCAGTGAAGAAAATCTCCTGCAGCTTTCCTATTTAAAGGACAAAGGGATTAATAAAATCAAACTCTTTACCAACCCTATAAACATCATCGGTTTTCTTATTGGGAAACAGAACTAAATTTTTTCCAAAGCCAGTGTTGTATTTTTAAGCTTCCTCTTGGACTTAGTAATGGCCTCATAGACGTAGGCTGATAATAGGGGTGGATGCCCAGACAGGTTGCTCAGAATCACAGGAGCCGGAAACATCCTTCTTCCTTGTTCTCAGAAATGCTTACCAGTGGGTTCTTCTCATTCAGTTACATACCTTACCAAGCATTTAGCCTATGGTAATTCCATTTTTAGGACCTAGGAAACAAAGATGAACAGGACTAAGTCTTTCTTTTTTAAATGATCTCAAAGGTTAAATTTTTTTTTTTTTACTTAGTAGTAGTCATGGTGGAGTGATAGCTAAAAACTCACAGAATTATAATTATGTGATGAATGTTGATATCCTATATGATAAAAGCCTAATGTAGGGTCGCTTGCTGCTGGGATCTGGCCAATTGGGACTGCGCAGACCACGCATGCCCTGTGGTTCGCCAGCCACATTCGGCTCTTTGGCCTCTTGAGTGGGCTCTTCCACAAAATATCATGGCCTGGGTGTGTCTATTTTGAAGAAGTGACAGTAGAAGAAGTTTAAGTTTAAAAAATTTGTCTCTCAAAAGAAATTTCATTCGTTGCACTGTTGATATTTGGCTCTGTTGACTAAGGAGTTTGCTGACCACTGGTTTAGGCCCACTCCCTGCGAGTTCATAGTCTATGAGAGGGTGCAGACTGGGCTGAGAGTCACCCCCTCCCCCCAGCACAGTGCATGAATTTTGTGCACCTGGCCTCTAGTAGTTATATAATAACTACTCTATGAGCTCATAAAGTATTGTCTAAATTAGGTAATTGAAACTGGCTTGTGGGAAAAGATAATTTTAAGTGTGATGATTGCTAATAAAGGTAACCTCATCATCTTCATGGTGGCTGTAAGAGCAAATTATGCAATTCAGTATAGGAGAAAGGAAGAAATTGAGTGGAACTTGTGAAGAAATTGCACATATATGTAGTGGGAATGCAAAACTGCATATTCATAGGATGTAAGGTGAAATTTCTAAGAATAACTTCCTTTTTATGAAATTCCAATTCTACTTGGGCCATCTCAATTTTGGTGATACAACTAATTGAATAACACCAAGTAATTACAGGAATATAGTAGGTCCTTATATAACACTAGAGACAGGTGGACAAGTTTCATGCACTCAAGGGTGGCTGTCTCCTTGTCCTGGCCTGTGCCTTCTCACAGTCCGAGAGCCCTTGGGGGATGTACCACTGATGGCTTAGTCCCAGTCCCTGTGAGGAGCAGGCCTAAACTATCAGTTGTACATTCTTAGTGCTGTCTCAAATTCGGGAGAGGTTCCCATCACTGCTATTGCACTGGCCAGCCATGAGCCAGGCTTCTGGGCTTCTGGCTGAGCGATGATCCTTCTGTAGGACCACACTGACCACCAGGGGCAGCTCCTACATTGAACATCTGCCCCCTGGTGGTCAATGCAAGTCATAGCAACTGGTTGTTTTGCCATTTCGTCAATTTGTATATTACCCTTTTATTATATAGGACTAGAAGCCCGATGCACACAGATTCGTGCTAGAATGGGCTTTCCTTTCCCTGGTGGCCAGAGCCACCTCTTTCCACTCCAGCTCTACCTCCCCACTCTGCCCAGAGGCCCTGGGATATGAGGGTGGGACAGAACACCTGCATCCCACCCACCCTGTCACTTGGCACCTGTGTATGCAAATTAACCACCATCTTTGTTGGGTTAATTTGCATAACACTCCTGATTAACTGGAGGAGTAGTGGAGGTACAGTCAATTTACATGTTTATCTATTATTAGGTAGATAGTTTTGTTCAACCTTATCTACCTAATAAAAGAGTAACATGCTAATTGACCATACCTTTGTGATGTTCACCAGCCAATCAAGAGTGAGCATGCAAACTAACCCAACATAGCTAGCAGGTTAATTTGCATATAAAGGTGCCCGGTGGCCGGGACTGGCGGGACGCTTGCATCATCTCCATGGCTGCGACACAGGCATTCTGCATCACCCAGCCGCTTGGGACTTCTGGGCAGTGTGGGAAGGCAGAAAGGCAGAAAGGCCAGAACAAAGGCCCATTCTTGTACAAATCTTCAATCGTACATTGTGCATAGGGCTACTAGTTTTGTTATAATGTTTATGAGATGTGGTGGAAGCTTAACTCATATTTACCAATTAGCCTGTGGTAAAATGTGTTGTTTTTATCACATTGCATTATCTTATCCATGCTGTTAAGTGAAGGCTTACTACACCTGTTTTTTGTTGCACTTCACTTTGAGTTTTGCTACTATTACACTCCTTATAAATTAAGGTAGACCCTTAACACATAAATAATTTATGGCTCGCTGAAGGCTGAGGTAAATGCAGGCATTTTTAGCAATAAAAAGCATTTTGAATTAAGGTATGTAAATTTTTCTTGTCAATCCTAAGGATATGTTGTTAACCTAAGGAATATTTTTCTTTTTCTTTTTTTCTTTTTTTTTTAAGAGAAAGTGGGAGGGGGAAATACAGAGAGAGATACATAGATTGGTTGCCTCCTGCACATGCCCTGACCAGAGCCAGTGATTGAGTTTGCAACTGAGATTCATGCCCTTGACTGGAATATAATCTGGGATCCTTTGGTCCAAGGGGTGAATGTTCAGTCCACTAAGTAAAACTGGTTGGGGTAAATTATGTACATTGTAAGACATTAATGCTAATGCATACTTGCTAAACTATAATACAATGTAAACACTTTTATATGCATTTGGAAATCAAAAAATTTATGTGACTCATTTTATATTGTGATATTTGCATTATTGCTTTGGCTGTAACTGACCCTACAGTATCTCTGATGTCTGCCCTTAGTTTTATAAAAATGGCACATATGTCAGTGTTACTTTCTGGTTTAGATTTCAAAGTCAGTGGGTCCAGGGAACAATACAGACTGGAATTATTTATCAAAAAGAAACAACTCAATGCAGAA